GCCCCCTGGCGGCGCCCTCGGGCACGGCGCGTGGCGGGCGGCGTGGGCGGGGCCGCGCGGAGAGGGCCCGCCTCTTCGCTGCGCCCGCCAATAGCGCGCCGATCGCCTGTTGATGGACAGGGGCGGCGGCGAACCGCAAGGAGGGCGGGCGGTGCGGAGGGGGTGGCCCGCGTGGCGGCCATGGCGCTCAGCAGGAGGGAAGGTGCGAGCGGCCGCGCGGGGACGGGGACGGGGACAGGGACGGGGACGGGGACAGGGACAGGGACAGGGATAGGGATAGGGATAGGGGTTCTCCTCGGCTGCGTGTTCTCCTCAGCTGCGTGGCCTGGCTGCGGGTGGGGGTAGCTACTGGTCGGGTAGTTAACGGTCGGGGCGTGGCCGTTTAACCGTCCCGGCGCGCGGCCGTTTAACGGCTCAGGGGGCCCAGCTGCGGCCCCCCGGCCGCCTGTGGCGGGCGCGGCGGCCCCCGGGCGCCCTTGGAGGGTCGCGGAGCAGGCGGGCTGGCGCGGTGCGCGGCCGGGAGCGCCGTGACGGGCGCTCTGCCGCTCCCCCGCGTGTCCCCTGCCCCGCGCCGCGCTGCCCTGCCGCCCTGGCCCGGGCGGTGCTGCCCGAGGGAGGCGAAACTAAAGCCTAATTGGTTCTTTAATGCTTATTTAAAAAAAAAAAAATCCTTAAAAACAGAAGTTTAGGGTGCACGTGTGCACGTGTGTGCACTCTTCCTGGCTGCAAGTGGCTGTGTAATTTGGCTTAATGAGAGCAGGCTAGCACAGTTCTGAAATAGGTAAGGTGATTTATTCATTTCTTTTTTTCTTTTTTTTTCCTAATCCAAGCAGAATTTTGGTCTAATTTATTATCCTTCTTTCTTGGTAATATGTGGCCTTTACCAGAAACAGCATTATAATATAAACCAAGGTGTTTCCGGAGTACAGCCTTAGTCACCAAAGTGGTTTTGATTGTGGCTGAACTGTGAKAGTGAAATGCCCACCTCTGAAGTGACTCTCTGCCTTGTCGCCGCCGTGCTCTTTTGTTTGCCCCAAACAGTTTGAGCTTCTGGAAATGTGAATCCCTCCTGCAAGGATATGAATATGAGAATACGGCGAAGCCCCAAGYGTTGCTGTATGAGCAATGTTTGGTACTTGACTGCGGTTAGTTAGCAGCAGGAAGCTTCTGAAGGGAGTGAAAAACTGAAGTTGTCTCTGTGTTTCAGCTGCAGCTCTAGCAGAGGCCTTGGAGAAGGAGGATGGWGTAGCTCATAGTGCAGGCGTCCCTTGCCAGAAAGCAGAGCAGTGCCTCTATAGAAGAAGATCAGGGACTTCCTTCTCATAAATAAGCTGGTGATTCTAGGGCTGAGAGCAGGGAAGGCAAATTCAACAGTACTCAAACAGGTTAAAACTGAACGTAAGATAAAGTGCTGCTAATTTCTGTATGAATGAAAAAGAAGGGTAAAATGATCATGCTGCCTAAGTGTCTTTTACTGAAAAGTTAGAAGCTACTCATGTTTTCTTTAACCACTGCTGAGGTTTGAATCATCACTGTTAATATTAAGAGGAAGAAAATGGAGCAAGGGATACAAGGATCATAGGATGTCRTGCAGTCACCCTGGAGTGAAAATAAGGGATGAAAGAAGGTCAGAAGAGATCCCCACTTTGCTCTGCTGTTGGGTGTAGTATATATGGAAAGAGTTGGCTTAGTGTTGTGAAAATCTACAGGCAAAAGATAAGATAGCTATATCAGAGAAGAGCTGAAAAAAGAAGTTCAGATTCTGCTTGTTAAGATTATTTTGGTCTAGTGTATAGGAGAAGGATACTTCAGATTGATCTGATCACATTACAAAGGAAAACACAAATTTTAATTTTGTATTTAACTGGGCCATAATTGATGAATAGTTTGTAGATTGCAGAGAACATTTATTGAGGAAAAAATCTAAGTTATTAAAATCTAAAAGGCAGGAAACTAACAGTATAAGTAAGTGAGATACAKCTAAGGTTTGATTTGCCAGGAATTGATTAGACAGTAACTGAGAAGATGCAGTGGTTTTGTTTATTTTTCATTTTTCATGCCCTCATGCAAAGTAACAGGCTAGAGGAAGTAGCAAGTCTGCTTGATAAATAGTTTGTAAACATCAGTGGCTTCTTTAAAGCTGTATTTCTCACTCCTTCCTCCTTGAACGTRTGTGTAGTTCCAAGGTAGCAGCAGCTTGGCTGTCTTAACACTGTTTATAGAGCCTTTAAGTTGATGGAGCTGATTCTCTGAAGTTCCAGCTCCAACAGCAGGGAATTAAGGTAGTGCTGTAGGTTACCCTGGCCGCCTCAGCTGCTGACAGAGTGCACTGCTGCAGGAGGTGCTGTGCAGCACAGGCTGAGGTCGTGGGGCTTCAGGGGACTCCTGATGTGCTGGGTGTTGGATGTGATCGACTGAAGCTAGTCGGCAACAATAACGAAACGTTTCAGACAACATGGAGAGCGTTGAATCAAGGATGCTGCCTCACCCTCTGTGTGATGAGTAGGGTGACTTGTTTATTGGGCTCATTTTTGTATGAAATGTGTTGGGAGGTGAAACTGTGATTGCAGTTCCTTATATCGGGGTGGAGGTGGAGGGTATTTAATGACTAAATCTCAGGTATTTGAAAATGCTTAATTCTCTTGTAGATGCAGCAGTGTTCTTTTCCTTTGGAATAAACTTGCTGCTTACAGATTTATTATTTCTTTTCCAAAGACTGCTTATAATTTGTTTGAAAACACAGTGTTATCTTTTCAGAAACACATGTTTTTGCCAGCAAAGGCCACATGCCTTAGAACTGGAATTTGATGCCTGCTGTAGATTTCCCTCCTTCTGGGAGAGGGATCTCAGTCTTTTTTTGCAGCAATTAGTAGTGCACATTGTTTCCAGTGACCAAAGACTTATTACAACTAGCCAAGTTCTAAATTTTATTTAGATTGCACTTAAATAAATTGCTGATACTGATGGTTTTGTAATTAAAGATAGAAGCTGCATTAGGGCAAGCATAATTGAATCTGCCATTACAGGTTAACAAAAACATTTGTTTTCAGAGGGTCTTTCATTGCGGAGATGAGTTGTCTTATCAGGGAGGCAGCCAGCAGGGTAAGGAGGGAGGAGAATTTGAGTTATCCTTGTAACGTGGCATTTATATATATATGCATATGTAACGTGCATATATATATATGTATATGCATATATTGTTTTTTAGGGGTACTTAAAAACTTTTCAAGGAACCAGTCTAGATACTTCTGTTGTTTTACAAAGGTAGTTTTCTTAAAATAATCAGCATGTGAAGTGCTGCACTCAACACTGGTTTTCAGGCTGTGTGGCCAGTAGATCCCTGGAGTCAAAAATAGAGGGTGTTGTGGTTTTTTTTTTTTTTTTTTTTCCCCTTTCCGTTACCTGCAGCTCGAAAGTGAGAAAACAATGTGTCTATAAATGTTTGCATTTCTGTTAAGGATTACACAATGGTTTCTGTTAAAACTCCTGTCGGATTAGAAGAAAAAAGATAAAATGAAAAAATCCTCTCCTCTCATATGGAAAATTCAAGTACTTGAAATTGTATTGTATTTACACCCTGGAAAAGGTCACACAGATATTGTATGTACACTCTTTTATATTATATGAACTTAGGAAAATTCCTTTGCAAATTAATTTGAGATACTGTATTTTTTTTTTTTTTTATTTATTTTTACCTGTGGTCATTGAGGCTGCCCCTACCAGTTTCATTCATATATATAAAAATAATATGTATTCATATACATATACGAACACACAAATGTACATAATATAGCCATCTTTCTTCCTGTGGTATTATTTTGAGCTTCATTTTAATTTCTTTTAAGAAGAGAAAGTTACCTCTTTTAAATTTTCTACATTTTTTTCTATTCAGTTGTCTAATCACCAGATGACTCCCCCTCCTTTCCCCACTAGTCTGCAGCTGTTCTTACGGTGATATTTCAGGCCATTATAGTACTTTTTTTTTTTTCTGTTCTTCATGTTGCTAACAACATTTACTGAAAAATTATAAGATGATGCCTAAATTGGAATGTAATAAGAATCCTGTGAAGGTTGGCAAATTCTCCCTCTAATTGCTGAAAAATTAAAAAATGCTGCCTTTTCCTTTAGATATGGCTTATGGTTTGACACCTATTTTAGGGCCTGTGCTGTTTTCTCTCTGCATTCATAAAACATGGCAAGTGTTCCTCGGGTCAAAGTAAGATTTAAATTTTATGGAATTCAGAGAGTTTAGGAATACAGTAGTAGGGGACTGGACTTAATGATCTAAGAGATTATGCAGTCAGGCTCTTAAGCAATCCTAGCATTTTAACTGTTAGTGCGTCCTTAATTTTATGTTCTTGTGTATCTTGAGCAAAACAAAATAGTACTTGATAGTCTAACCTGAGTTACATTAGTGTGGTGTGTGTGTGTGTATATGGTGCAAGAGGAGAGACTTTTGTTAGAAACAAGAAAAATCCACACAGTTCAAAAGAGTGGTGGTGAAAATACTGTTTTCTCAGGACTCTGTTAAGAGTGCTCCTAGGACAAGGTTCCACTATGAGACAGGTGGACAGTGTTCCTGTGAACAGCTGGAACAAAATCCTGATGTTCTCATTTTGGTGGCTGTAAGGCTTGTACCATGTGTCTCCTGTATCGTGTCAAGTGTCTAGGAGCTTCCAGTTGCGACTAGGGCGACCTCGTGCGAGATCTCCCAAGCTTCGTTAAGCAGGGAATGCGCCGTGCGTTAGTTGGGTCATTATCGAACTGCACAGCCCTGCAGAATGTGCTGACAGCTCTAACACTAGTCGTGTGGATTAGGAGCTGCTGTGTGACACAGAGATCCTGCTTAGTGAAGCTGCATCAGGTCTCTGAGCTAAGAGAAAAAAGAACATTTGCTTTTTTTGTAGTGCCATTGCCATGAGCAGTGTTGAGCTGTATTCCTGCAAGTAGGGAAAGCATTAAATGACTCCTCCATTGCGACTCACTTATTAACCTAGGTGATAAGGATGGGATATGATGTCACGTATACTCTTTTCTTTCCTTCCTTCCTTCCTTCCTCCCCTATAGATGCATGTCAAGATGTGTAGTAAAATCTCTCTTGTCTCTCTTGTTTGAATTGTGCATCAAAGCTGGGAGGACTGTGTATTAACTCAAGTTTCAGGGAGCAAAGTGATTTCTCCTCATATAAAAGATGAGATAGTG